TTATTTCCTCAATTTATCTTTTTTCAGTGGTTTTGGTTTCAGTCAAACTGCCAGTTTGCTTCTTAGTCTTTTTTTTCATTACTGTGACGTAATACTATTATGCCGTAGATTGCTTTTTCCTAACTTCTCCAATCCCGTTGAGTGTTAAAAATTTTACTTTTAGATGAGAAACTGAGTTTATGAGTTGCATAACAAATTAGCTAGGTTAACCTAATATTATATTGTAAGTAGATGGGACATCCACAACCATAAATTCTATGATCGAGGTGATAGTTCTCAGTTTTGTCCCCAATGAGATTAGTAGTTTGATTGTTCCTTTCGCTGGCACCTGCCCATCCCTAAAGAGATTGGTAGCTTGATTGTTGTAGTGATCGATTGCAACTAGTCTTCACCAATTTCTATTTGTTTATAGTGCCATAGGACATGACATCGATAAAATTTCCATTATCGAACAAGATTCTCTTGACTACATACTTGTATACTACAATAGTGATTACTATAGCATCATATAAATGCTAGATTTCTTCTAAATCTTTTAGACTTAATAAGATTGATTCATCTTTCCAATCTTTTTTTTATCGAGGTGCCTACAACCATGATCATGCCTAGATTAAACTTTTTTTTTACTGAGGTTGAGCTACCTCCAGTGATCACATTAATCACCCCAATGATCAACCTATTGTTATCTATTCGAGCTTTTTCTCGTCTCTATTCGTCTCTTCTGACTTTTTTTTATCATTTTTTAACCTTTTTTCTTCACCTCGAATGGGCTTTTTTTAGTCTTATCTATAGTCCATTCTAGGTTAATCTTGTTTTTACTACTTTACAAACCTCCTCAATTGACATCTCCTTATCAGAGCTTTGATCTCATTTTTAGGTCAACATAATCTTTAATATTATGGCTTATGTCCCTATGAAGGGTACATTTTTTGGTTGGATCCCTCTTTATGTTTTGTATCAATGCTTTCCGCTATTTAAGGTCTGTATTTCTCTCAAGTTGCATCAAAATCTTTTTTCGAGAGGTATTTAATGCGATGTAGTTCTTTCCTCCACCAAGACTTCTAACCTTATATCGTCTTTCTCTTGAGAGAGGATTTTAGACATAATTGTCTTTTTTATAGTCGAAAAAAAGAATAAACCTCTCTCATCTTAACCATCGAAGAGGGAGGATAAACCTCTCTTACCTCAATTATTTCTTGTTGTAGCTTCGGTATTTATATATTTCTCAATAACAAGTATGACATCAATCAAAATTTTAGATGGTTCTAGTGATAAGATCAGCTTTAGGTGGTACTCTTTGTCATTGAATCCACTTGTTAGGACGATTACAGTGGTCGTTTGCTCCAGGTCTTTTACCTATAGAGCTTCTACGTTAAAATGCATAATATAGCTTTTCAAAGACTCATTACGACCTTGGTAGATTGACATCAAACTTAGAGTTATCTTTTTTGTTCTTTGACTACTTACAAATCGAGACAAAAAAAGGTGGTTAAGTTTTTTGAACGTTGTAATCAACCTTGGTTCTAGGCTGCTATACTAGAATCGAGCTGCACTCTTTAAAGTGGTAGCAAGGCCCTTACACATCAACGCTTCATTTGCACCCTGCATCATCATGTTAGTCCTATAAAGTTCTAAATGATTGAAGTAAAAGTAACATTATGGGTTTCTAAGGTAGGCATTTTGATTAGGAGGCATTATTGATCTCTTCGGTAAAAAGTGAAGTCTCAAGAAGTTTAAGCTCATCCTCGAATGTCACTACTTTTGTTTTTAGCTCTTTCTCCATGGCATGCAATTGAACTCCTAGGTCTTTGTTTGGTTGGGGTTCGAGATTTGTTTGTTTGAATTTTTATGTTGTAGCATGTGTAGAATTGTAACTAGGGTAGTAGCAGACTGAGGTATTGTGCTCTTTTTCTTTAAAGGCCAACGAGACTTCCATCTCTTTTATAACTTGGCTATCTTACTACAGTTCCTTGACTAGAGGTGATTAGTTTAGGCACATTCAAAACTTATGGTGGGGTTATTGTTTGCAACATCTGTTTGAGGGTTTGCATCTGCTTGATCAAAGCCTGGAATTGTTCCATGGTTAGGTTGGTCTATGGTGAAGCAAGTCAGTCCAAGTGTTGGCTCTTATGCGTTTCGTTTTAAACAAGACAATAGTCTCTCCTTCTTCTATAGTTCTTTTCTTAGGTGGCATTATTTTGCACTGATCTAGTGAGTGGAGAGGCCTTTACTTGGCGCATCAAATGTTTGTGCCTAACTCCTATCTTAGGGTATTTTTAAAAAAATAGAAGAGAATGACGATTAGAGACAAAAGTAAGGAGTATTCCCTGCATTTGCATTTCAACACGCAAGTAATAATGAGTGAAGTCAGAAGGAGAGTTGTAAAGCAAATTAGGAGTAGATTGAACTTACCTTAATAGTGCTTGAACCTTCGTATTTATAAATAAACAATAAGAGATTGTTAGGGGACAATAACAACGTGATCGAATTGATGTAACATTAAATGTGATTTAATATATTAAATCGATACAAATATCAAAATTATTTCTAAGTCTGTTAGAAAGTTTTTTCAGTGAAAAAAAATTTTATACTTTTTATGACCACTAAATGATCCAAACAATTCCCATTTCTTTATGCTTTGAAAAGAACAAATTTGCAACGCTAGCTAGGGAGCCAGTTTAGGATTGACAAAATTATATCAATCGGTGGTAACTATCAGGCGTTTGCTCACCCTCATTTCAGTTGGCACATCAACAAGGAAGGAAGACAATTGACATGCAGAAAAGATATGTATGCAATTACAAGTAACACCTTTTCCATGTTCCCTAAGATTAAATCAAAAATATGGAAAAAGGGATGTGGTTGTTTAACAAACCCATGGCCCATGGTTGCACCAGGTCTGGCTTTTCTGAATTGAGAAATGTTGCACTTGCATGTATATATCTCATTCTCTGCATTGGTTATCTTTTAAACTTCCTGGACCTTGCTTTTTCTTGCTGCAAGGATTCAAATTACCTTATACAACCAGAATAGCCTTCCAAAAGCAAAAAATATGAAACACAAAAACAGCAGCAGAGCAAAAGTTTGATTGGATTAAATTTTTAGTTTAACTTAAACTAACAATATGAGTACAGATTAATCGAATGAGTTTGAAAAGACAATTAGAAATGTGTGTCAGAAATATGGACTGGCAACTAAATAGTATATCAGCAGCATCACAGCACATACATACTCAAATCAAGTAGTTTCTGTCTTATCAAATACAAACCAGGAAATATACTTACCTTGGCTCATCAGCCTCATCCATGCTTTGACCACGTCACCTATACCTACCACCAAATGCCACAAATCCAGGACAAGGGCGGTAAGCCTTTACAGGCCACCAACCAAATCCTGGGACTGTAGCAATCCCTCCTTGGATCCTCCCCTCACCGTTGCATCGATCCCTTCTCCAATTGCTCTCTCCCGCAGGCCTTGTAAGTAGCAACCCCTGTGAATATGTCAGCCATCTTCTTATAGGTAAAAATGCCAATACAAATACAAATAGATAAAAATAATCCTGTAGACCAGAGAATACTACATTCATGTAGTGAAGAACCAAGAATCGAAGTCTTTAAGCAGCAGCAGGAAAATGGCCTTCAATCGTTAATGTGAAAGCCAGCCACAGGGCCATAACAATGACCCTTTCACTCTATTGAATTTTAGATTGTTCCCACCAAATAATTTGCTGTGCTAACAATAGAGACGATTCTTTTTTTCCTTTTTTTTTTAGTTTTTACTGTGTAAGCCATTAATTAACAGTAAACTAGCTAGTTGACCGATACAAGAGACTCAAAAGAAAAGCGCCTTCCATCACAGTTAGCCCTACGAAAGTTGAGCAGTGGCCATCAAAATTCAGGTCTTTAGTTAAACTTTCATTGTACCTTACAATACAATATACTCATTGATATTTAAGATAATTGACAATGATGTCGAATATATAAGAAAATGCATGGTATGGTGCCTGAAAGGAGGTCCTTCAACTGGAATGGTGGCAGATGCTGATTGGACAGGAATATCATCAGGTGAAGCAGGAGATTCATCTTCAGCAGTAGAAGTAGTTGAAGAAGCAGCAGTGGATAGATGGACGGTAGGCTTAAATAGATACTTGATGAAAGTTATGGAGCCAAAAGAGGTGGAGTAAGGGAGTTAAAGGAGTGAGGTTTGATGAGATGGTGTTGGGATGCTGAGAGAAGGGCCATTGCCATTCCCTCTTTGTGAATTGCCGTGTGTACTGTTCACAAGGAATTAAGGAATTGGATAACAGCCACGAGTTGCAGCAGCGATGCAAGCAAAATATAAGGTCTAGAAGAATGAAAAGAAAAAAAGTAGAGGTTCCACCGAGATTTGAACTCGGCAAAATATAAGGTCTGGAAGAATGAAAAGAAAAAAAGTAAAGGTTCCACCGAGATTTGAACTCGGGTTACTGGATTCAGAGTCCAATGTCCTGACCACTAGACCATGGAACCATTTATTATTATTTCGGAAAACCAATTTAATTGAACAGTTTTTCATTAGGGATGATAATAATTTGAATTAAATCATATTCCTTTTTTTTTTAATATTACATAATATTATGATTTTGTAAAATTTAATTCAAATTTGAACAGAATTTTTATATGATTTGAATTGAATTTTATTAGTTTACTTTTATTTAGTTTATTAAATTTTAATTTTTTAATTTTTTTATATTTATTTAATATAAAATTTTAATATATTTATATAAATTTTAATATAAAATTATTATTTTAATTTTATAAAAATTTAAATTATACATAAAAATTGAAATATATATATAATTAAATTCAATTTATTTTTTTTTATTTTTCAACTCTTGATCTAAAATTCAATTTAAATCTAATATTTATTTAATACCTAAATTTGATCTGAATCAAATATTATAATTTCAAACCAATTTTTAATTTTGTTAGGTTTTTTTTTTCCTCACCCCTAGACTCCCCTCTGACATTTTGCCCATTCTGCAATCTAAAATCTTTGTTAACATGACAGAATTATGATTATCCCAGATATTCCTTAATTTTTCTGAACCATGCAAAGCGTTGGAGTTTATCCTTAACTTTAATCATTATTATTCTCAGCCATTGATGACAAGAGTTATCCTCGGAGCCACTTTCGGATCCAGTACATCATGCAACTTCTGTGAATCCATATTCAACTCACATGAATACATCCATGTGAAGAATTGTTGAATATATATATACGTATACAACCAAAATTATGATCATTAGGAGGAAAAAAATAATAATAAAAAGACTAAAACGTTAAGGGCACCTATTTACCACAAATCAACCAAAACTGAGGTGGCAAAGCCGAAAAAGAAGGAACTTTGAAAGAAATACCAGAGAAATTTCAAGCAACTTGCTGTTGCTAATAAATTACCAATAACATGTTTTGAAGCTAGTACTAAAATTATCACTTGTATTAACTCTTCATCTTCTGTTATCCATGAACAATCTATTGTTCCATGTCCCCATCGGCAGGCATCACTGAGCTGTGATGATGCACAAGGTACCACTGTCCGTGATGGAACTCAAAGATGTTGGTCATGTTAAATGCTCCATTATTCATGTCAACATAGGTTTTCATAGTAACCCAAGCCATGTCTGTCAGCACGCGGGCTCGAACATCTCTAACCTGAAAATCAACCCCTTGCTCCCAATTAAATTCAAGTTGCCAACTCTGTATTACAGCATTATACCTGCACGGGGAAAAGAACAATGGCTCTCAGCAAGGCAAACCGGTGATATGAAGACCTTAGCCTAATCAAGTCAAATACTATGATGATATATTACTAACATGCAGATTAGCTAATCTCAACCTACTTTTATGGCAAAACTTTCTGATGTGATGCAGGACCAAGCTTGTAACAAAGGAATAACCCAAACTAAAAAGAAATTTACCATTCAAAATATTTTTGAAAAAAATATTTTCATTCAAGCTTTTGCCCTTCCATCATGATAGGTAATACATCCTTCATTTGTACAACTTAACTATACATGTTAGGTAATACATTCGTAATTCAATTTTTACAAATTACAATATCTTTGTCCTTTCTCAAGAAATTCAAGTTGCATATATTTTCTAACACACCTATCCTCAACATCTATTGTTCCCAGTACTTCCACCATCTACGGGTACCATGGCTTTTATTTGAAGCATGAAAATGTCTCATGCTTGTAAGAAGAAACATGAGGCTCTTTTCTCATGGTTGAACTCTAATATGTCGAGACAAAAAGCATTGTTATTCCAAGTAATGAGCTAATAGCAAAACTCTTGCAAAAGCATTCCAATGTTGGAACTAAGGACTCAAGCCATCTACATTGTGATCATAGAAACAACCTATAATCATCTTACAAGTTAAAGCTCTTCTCTATCTTCAAATATTTTTGGAACCATTACAACATTTTCTAGACATCTTAAGTTGGCAAACATCAAGAGACCAGGCCCTCATTTGACTCACATTTAATCAACTGTCATTACATCTATAAATACGTAGGTAAGAATGTCCATGCATCTTAACCCGATCATACAGTGTGAAAGATCTACAGGAAAATAATCAATCAAAAAGATAAGATATTAAAATTACACCACAACTTTATTGGGCTGAATTCAGAGTTCGAACCCAGACCCACCTCAAGGCTAAAATCTGAATTTTAGTGCAGAAGCTTGATGAAAAATGATATGAATTACTGAAATTATAAGCTTCCATGATCATAAGAACAAAAAGCAGTAAACAACATTTCCTGATATTGGACTGAAAGCATCATACCCTGAAAAAAGTTCACCTGACGCATGAACGCATTTAACATAATCTGAATTCAGCCAAAAACGACTCATTGCTGGAAGGGACCTAACTCTGATGATGTTAAAGAATTCTGTATTAACTTTCATTATGGCTCTTGTGGCTGCATAGTACGCCTTCCACCCATTAACTGGTGTTACGCTATCTTGCTCCAAAGTAAAATCCTAACAAACAAAAGATTAAGGCAGAAAATTTATGCCCACAGCCCCATAATTGAGGAAGATATCGACAATCAACTCTTAAGAGAAACATGGGAACACACACAGTTTAACTAAAGAACATGGCTGTGAAAATAAAAAAAATTGCAATCACCAGCTTACATATAAGAATGGCCCCAAAGGTTGAAAGTGAGTGCTCATTGTCCAAAGCCTATAAGGTGATAAACAAACTCACACCACAAAGAAACAAATAGAAGATACAGCGTCCATGTAAACTGCATAAAGTCATGAACCTCCCTTTTCAGGACTGAGATAAGAAGACAAAAGCCTTTTTTCCCCAAAAAGTCAACACCTTGATATGTGGCGACAATAAATTCCTCCAAGTGACAAAACATAGGAAGACAATTTCGAAAGAGAAAAACAGCTTCATAGACGAAAGTAGCAGCAAAGATGAAAACAGGAACATCTCTTCATTCAAGATAAACAAACCATGCCATGATTCTGAGTAGTAAGGTTCTATTCTCCCAATATACTAGGAACGAAAAATAAATTAAGGAAAGACTAATTCCATACTTCCATTGGAATACAGTCAAGGAATTTTTTTTTTTTTTGGAGAAAGGAAAAGAAAAAGAATGTCCTCTGTTAGTAGTTTTATCTTGATAATTAGTATTTTTCCCTTAATCGCAAATAATTGCAAATACTACAATAATTAAACATAGAATTCACGAAAATCAAAGTTCAAGCAAAACACCAAAAAAATAAAAGAAAATTAAAGGAAAAAAATTTTGGGGAAATTGGGTACCTTGTGATAAAGCGCTTTCCAAGCATTATCATCGTTAGCCGCCTTTCTCATCAACGAATTAGTCATAGAAAGCCGGCAAAGGCTCGGATAATCCAAGTAACTGAGCACGTGTGTGGTAATCTCCGGTACCAACTGCTCCATCATTGACGCCCCGCTCTGTCTCTCCGCCACTACCTTGGAAAGATCCGCCGTCACCATATCCTCCTCCGCCGGACCAGCACTACCGCCTTTCACGAACGCCGCGGAATCGGAAGTTCCGTTGCAGGAGGACAGGGATGTAACTTCTTTTTCTTCCTCTTTATCGGCTGACGTGGCGGGACCAAAGGCGTTGGATTTGTGGGGCCTCTTGAAGAATGATAGGACGGCGAGGAGGAGGGAAAGGAGGGTGATGATTGTGGCTATGATCAACGGCTGATGGGATTGGAGAGCGATGGAGAGGCTATGGGCAATCTCCATTCATAAGACATTAAAGCTTCGCAGTACATGAAATAAAACCCTAGAAATCTCCAGTGATTCCGAAAAGGAGAATCAATTAAAACGAAGTAAACCTTGGTTTTTTCTTAATTTTGGAGTGAATTTGGTAATAGTTTTGTTTTAAAAAATATATAAAAATTTAAACGAAAATTCAATTTTGTTGCAGAAGAGAGGGCGGAGAGTCCTAACTGAGTCGAAGGAGAAACTCAAACCAGAAAAATAGGCCAGTATTGGGGGATAGTTTTGTAATTGTATTTAGAATACTTGCTACGGCGTCGTTTAACTGCACGTAGTTTTCTTTTTATTTTTCCTGAAAAATTACTTGTATTTTTTCTCCTCACTAAACGCTAAGCTACCGTCGGTAAGAGTTTTTTTTTTTATTCGAATTCTTTGAGAGACAGTGAAAATTTTTTATTATTTAAAAAATACTTTTATTTAAACATTATAATTAAAATAAAATCTTTTTAAAAGGTTAACATAAGATAAAAAAATAAAGTTTTACCAAAAATATTACCTTTAATATTGAAATAATAATGCTTGATGTATTGATTAAAAGCCCTTCTTTCAGGGGAAAATTCCATAGCATATTAGATTATTTACATTGTTTTTTTTTTTTTTTAACGAATAAGAAGTTTATTAACGTTGCTATTAGGTGGCACCACAACTTTTTGCCTATTAACTTCTTCCTTGCCCGTTCTTTTTATTTTTTTTAATAAGAAATTAAATGCTCAACAATGTAAAAAAGATAAAGAAATTTAAATTGTCATGTTTAACATGTTTTCGACGAAAGACTAATTTTTATGCAATTTAATTGATTTTTTTTAGTTTAAACGAAATTTTAGATCCATTCAATGTCATTTAAAGTTGATTTAATCATTACTTATGTAATTTAAAATATAATATGATAATATAATATATAAATGATATAAATAAAAAATATAAAAATAATAAAATTTAAAACTTTAAAAGATTTACAAATAGATTTAATAAAATAAAAATAATTATATTTTATATTTTTATTTTGATACGTCTATAACATATAATTTTTATATAAAATATGATAAAAATATAATATTTTACTCAATTCAATATTATGAATTACTAGATCAACGTTTGTGCCATTCCAAAGAGTTTATTCCTTTATTTATGCCACGTGTTTATTTATGGTACATCATTATTTCACGTGTGCTTTATTTTTACGTCATTCTATCACGTGCTATGTGCTTGTTAGGTGTATCATGTAGCACAATTATTTTTCAGTTGAGTAATTTAATTTTTTTTTAATGTCATTTTTTAAAGTTAATGATTATATTTACAGCAAAAATAAAAGATCATAAATTTACTTGCATGAAATAAAAAAATTAAAAACTTAAATCCATTTCGTGGTAAATATGGAAAATATATTTGGGATATTAGGCCCAGAACCTTATCAAACCAAAGTTCTTCACAAATAGGTGCCTAATCCCTTCCAAAACCGTAAGATGCAAGATTTTCCGACCAATAAATTTTTTTTTTTTGGTAAATACTTTTATTAGGAATTGAACTGATCGCTGAAACCAACTCAAGAGCCCTTTTAACTAGGAAAAACAATCCATCTATTCAATAAAACATTGCTGATTTCAGGAAGAACTTCTTATTAACAAGCAGTAATTACCAGAGACAAAATTCCAATATGCTACATGGCCACATTCCCTCATGTAGAAGCTACAGTTACAGTGAGGTTTAAGCTAAACGTTAACAATCAAAGAACCTGATTCTCTACACCTAGAGAAAAAAGAAGGGACGAGAAAAAGAGGGAGGGAGGGACTAGCTAGAGAGCAAGGTGATGAATATTGTCATACTGCTGCTAACAAGTATTAAAACCCAACCTCTGCTTGTCCGGCATACCTTATCCGACTGAGTGGCTCCCAAAAATGTGGCAACTCTGCTTGAAACCAACTTGAGAATAGCAATGCAAGCAAAGAAAAGACTTACAGCTAATACAGCAAGTTCTTTACTCTCTAGACTTGCTTGATCGCGTGCAACCTTTTCAACATCTAATCTGTTGGGGAAGGAGAGGAGCAGAAGGGAAGGGATGAATGTCAGACAAGAAAGTTGCATGCAAAATCAATGTATAAAAGGGAAACCATTTTCAAAAACCAGGCAAATGCTAGAATCTGTTGTATAGAATGCAAATGCAAAAAGAGGATTACTCAGCTCTTGAATGTAAATGCACCTACATCCATACCAAATGCAGTATTGATGCATTTCGAAATTTGAATTAATATCAAAGTATATGAAAAATTGAATCAGGTTACTATCTTGGAAAGCACAGATACTTGGTGCATATATATTGGTAGTGATATTCACTTCTAACCTCCTGTATATGTAAATATAAACAAAAATCTAATAAAAACTCTTAATAAAAGCTAAATGACAGAACATAATATATATAGTGGGAGGCTGAAGCCTGAAGTAATCAGTTCAGTTAAGGCTTTATTCAAGTGAGTTTTAGCTGAGTTGCTCATCATAGCAACCCACATTGGAAGTTTGAAAAAGCTTCAAAGAAAGGGACAGGATAATAAATAATAACTTGAATAAATAATAAATGGCAAAACGTTGTGAATGACAACTTAAAATAAAAATGAACAGGCACGTAAAAACTTTGATTGTTAAGAAAAATATTTCAAACCTTAACATGCTGTTTTCTCTGACCAATGCATCTACACTAGAAGAGACAGCTGCTTTCCATGATTCAAGGTCCGCAAATTCTCTTTCCTGAAAGGGAGAAAAAGATGTCAGATACTCAAGTGGTTATATGTAACTCTTTTTCTCCACTAAGAAAGATGATGCTGATGATGAAAGAAAGAATTATGCAGTACCGTCGTCTCTTTCCACTCCATCAGATCTTTTATTTCTGTTATGCTTTTCTCCAAAAGCAGAGAAATTCTAGATAACTCTTTATCAATCCCTGGTAAAACATCTCCTTCTCTCTGGTTCAATTCTTTGATATACTCTTCCAAAAGAGATAAATTCAAATCAAGAGACCTCACCTTTTGCATCAAAATCTTCAAAACAGTGTCACCAGGTATTCTGCCAACTGGCAGTTGTTTAATTTCAGTTAAAGGATCAGGAATCTTATTCGTTGTCACAGGATTCTTTGTCACCGTTTCATTGAGCTTTTGAACATCCTCAGCATTTTCTACCCCTAAAGCAGCAGTTTGAGCCCCATTTTGAGCCTCATCATTTCTTTTACCATCACGAGAATGCACATCTGGTTTTACAGAAGGCCCTGTTGAGTTAGAGTCTGCCAATTTTGTAAGAACATGTTGTTCAGATGGCACAAACAGATCTTCAAGCATCCTCTCAATTGCATCAACACCATATACCTCTACAACACTCAGCGTGCAGTAAAACTCTGATCCATAATGACTGAGTAGATTCAATTTCAAATACCTCAGCCATTTTGGTTCCAGCAGCTTAAAGGTTTGAATTTGCTTGACATTTGCAGCAACAAACTTTCCTAATGGTGACCATGTTTCAGTTGGATAATTCAAACTACCATACAACTTGAATTCCTTGAAGTTTGAAGAATAGTGTTCAAAATTAGCAATTTTGACAGCATCAACCAAAGTCTCTTCTGCCAGCTCAATCACAACAAACTTTCCTTCCACAGAACAAGGATTTCTTAGATACTTATCATGATCCTTTCCCAAAATGTTGTCTGCTCCTTTTGCTTCCTTGTTATGTGCAACCACTTTTGCACCTTTCATCACAGAGGCAAAATTGTACTCTGAACCATCAGATTCAACACGATGAGTGATGTTAATTAGTCTGCCTGGAGGATCCCCCTCTCTTGCTTGTCTTGTTATGTTCCGGAATTCATCAAATTTGAGATAAGAGGAAGTACTTTTAAGATGAGGTTGTTCCATTTGTTTACTTGTATTCTGCCCGTCTTGTTCGTTTACATCACAAAGAAAAGCCGTGTAACCTAAAACTTTCAGAATTACTTCTTCAAGTGTATTTGTTTTGCGGACAGAGTACTCATACTTCACAAACTTCTGATAAACAGTGGAGCTGTTACAGCTTACTGATTTATTAAGCTCTAGCAGCACTCCATTTGTACAATTATCACCTGGATACGCATCATTACAAAGCTTTTCATGGCAAACACTAGGAGAACATGAGGTTTGGTTCTGAGGATGTGAATTTCCTGAAGAAGATAGCTCTAGTCAATGCATTATTAACCAACTTAGTGTAATACTAAAGTAAATAATGGTCTGTTCATTGGTTATTCTAGCCCAAAATTTTCTATTTGAAGAACTCAAAAATGATGATGTAAATCACCTCTAGGCTAGATTACTAAAGAAAAAGGTAAACATTGCAGAAGTATAATTTGTGGTTCTAAGAATGTATGTAAATATTAGGGGGCAAATTTTGGAAAAAAATCCTTAAAAAGTATGGAAATAAAAGTTGAATTCGACGATCTTTGGGGCCCAAGGATGTAAATTTAACTCTATTGTTGCACAATATGCCATCAATAAAAGTGATTCAGCATAAACACACGTTGCAAGCAACAAATTAAACCTTTTTCAATGCTTCTCCCAACAGGAGAAATGTCTTTATAGTACCAATTAATGCTTTCTTTTTTTGGATAAACGTTCTAATCTTGCAAAATCACTTGGGTCAATAACAAAAATGAGATCTTGGGTAAAAATCTGGCTTTGTGAGTTTAAACACTTGTTTAAGAACTAAATTGAAGGCTCTACCATTAATATTTTATAAATAAAAAAGATGGGTTTGCTAGAAACAAACCATAAAGAAGAGGTAAGTAGAAAGAAAAGGAAACGAGCAAGCAAGAAATGGTTTTACCTCCATTTTCAACATGGCTGAGACCAAGACTGGAGTAGAACAAAAAGACAAGGCACCAAAGAGAGATAATAACAGACAAGGAGAATTCATAGAAACTCTTGCCAGTAACGGAGTTATTGCTGTTATTGTTGTTGTTATTGTTGTTGTTGTTCTTGATGCTGTCTCTGTTGGTCTTGTTTTCCTCGTTCCTGCTGTTGCTGCAGTTATTTCGACAAGTCACATACACAATGGAAGGCCCATTCCGAGGTTTCTTCATGTCTGATCCGTACAGACAGAAAGAGAGAGAAAGGGTTTTCTTTCAGAGAGAGAAAGAATGAAGGAAAGATTTTTTTTTCCTTTTTGTTTTTTTCCCGAGAAATTGTAGCAACGGTTGGCTTCGGCTTCTTGTGGGGAGAGAGAGAGGGAGAGAGAGAGAGAGAGAAAAACAAAAGTAGAAAACGTAAATTTTAAAGATGAGAGAGGGAGCGTTGATAGGAAGGAATTTTTATTGTTTGTGGGTGATTTCAGTCCCGAATCCAAATCTTGCGGAAACTACTTTTCTACCATCTAAAACCCCGCTTACTTCGTCAATCCCTGATACCTTACTATTTACCATCCATGCGTTTCAACAAGGTTACTGTAAAATTTCGAGTTTAATTGATATAAATGAAGAAAGAAAAAAAAATAGAAGCCGAATGAACTCCTTCGGTTATTTAAGCTGAAAATTTATGAATTAATTAGGTTGGCAAGAACAAAAAATCGGAATTGAACTTTCGTGATCTATATATGTTTTGAAGTAAGAAAAAGATGATGTATGTACGTATGTTTTCTCTTCAAATTATCATTCCATGATAGATAGTTGCCGTTGTTGAAGATATACATATATGGTAACCGATTGCTCATTGAAGCAATTATATTTTTATATGTGAAAATTGAGATAAACAGTTAGTATACACCAAAAATTACAATTACGTGAATGATATGCTCTGGTGCGATAAGTCTTACTGTAGCCAGTGCTACAAGCCGGTCTTTGCTACCAATGAAATAGGATCATGAAAACTGAAAAGCCTAAGCGGATGACATGTCACACAGGCCACGGCTGCATCCGCCGTGTTCAAAGTGTTTCTGATGTTAAATGAGTTAAAAGCACACGCTCAAATTCACGATCTTGGTCCTGTTTTATAAAAAGCACACGCTCCAATTAAAGTGAATTTCCTACCTACTGATCTTCTTTTGATTGAGAAGAACCTGCAAATCAAAGCACATCTGTTTAAGGGCACAGTTGCTCAGCAATCCATGCAAGAGAGAAAAGACTGAAGCAAAATGAAACCTTTACTTTTCTTGGGGAAAAAGGTAGATTAATTTCTTATAAATTGTGGAGTCTTATTTCTCAGAACCTTATTACTACTTGAGATACTAGCTTGTTCATTTCAAATAAACATAAGGTGAGTAGCAGACGACACCGCAAATAAAATTACCTTCACTTCACTGCTTTGAGCAAAGCTGCATGAAAAGAAACTGTCCTTCCATATGTATCATGTATAGTTCGGGGATGAGCAGGATCTAACAAATCTCTAAGATTTGTAGCAGCTAGCATCTTTCCCAGTATCAAACACATCAAGCTCTATTAGTAGCTGATTCAACGTAGTTTCCCACTCCTAAGCAGCTGCTTATACATATGGTCGGTTGGTTCCTTGAAAACCCTTGACGCCTGATCAGATAAAAAGAGAAAAAACTCAAAATTATTCACATATGATCTGCAAGACAGCTAAGTTTATCTCCTGTCCATTTACTTTATCTATGGTCAATTTGTCATCTTCCTACTCATAATTGTTATGAAATTGATCCTGTAAGACACCAAGTCGGGCTGATTCTCAGTGTCTTATTAAATACCACACAAGCTAACCCATTATATTTCCAATTCCAATCACTTGATTTATATCAGATGCAAAATATGAGGAGCTTAAATCCAACTAATATATGCAAAGTTTATATTTCATTTGCCTTCACATAAGACGTCAACAAATGGATTGATGTCAAGTTCTGTCCACATAAAAACAAGAGAAGAAAAGAGGGAGTTGCTATAAGATTACCATTCCTAGTTTCTAAAGTATCAATTTCATCAATGAATATGACTGATGGTTTGCTTATCTGCAAATAGAAATCATCAATTTCTCAACAGAGGACCCAAAGCAAATGACACCACCAAGCATTTGTAAATAAAAGGTATTATGAACTTACAACATGAAAACCGGTAAAGAAGTAATAATACAGAAAGCTGATTTTGTGGATGCCCCAAAAGTCAGAAATATTTCTCTATTTTCTCAATTATTATGGAGATATCCAACAATTTTCTTCAAGATTAAGTGTCAAAATATGGGATCCAGATTAGAAGGACTCTACCATGATTAACAGCTACTGCCTCCTTGTTGCATTAGCAATCAAAGATTAAAAAAAAAAAAAAAAAACTTATAGAATTATCACCTTGGCTCTCTTAAATATATCCCTGAAACGAGCAGAACCAACACCAACTAAAACTTCTACAAATTCTGACCCTGTCATTTGGTAGAATGGAACACCTGCTTCACCAGCTATAGCATTGGCAACTAAGGTCTGGAAAAGTATGAGATACTTCAGACAGATACATAAGGAAATTCCACAGCACATTTGGCAAACCTGTTAATGAAAAACTAACCTTGCCAGATCATGGGGGCACCTACAGAAGAACCCCATGAGGAGGTTTTATTCCTATCTTATCAAATAGTTCTGGATTCTTCAAATATCTCACCAACCAATAAAAAAATGTTAAGAATTAACAAGACAACATTAATTACAACAGAAGACTCCCATCCAAAACGCACACACCCAAGCTTTACCATCATTCTACAGGATAAGGAAGTTGCCACTAGATGAGGATACTTTGGTACTTTCCCACCCAAGACTGTATCACAAGTTTAAGTGGTATAGGAGATTAATAAAGTAACCAAAAAGTTACAGAGCACCCAGCACCCAAGTGCCAAACATGTTCAATGCCTACGACATGCACAATGATCTGCATTCTGCAAGCTATTCTTCCAAAATACCAAGGAAAGATATAGCATTAATATTAAATCAAAGATAATACTAACTGAATTCCACACAATTATATTACATAAAATTCAAGTAATCAAGGCAATTCTTATAACAGGAATTATGGTCATGCTAAGATTTAACTTCACCATTTTCAGTTCCATTAAATTCTTATGTGGATACTTTTGTCTATAGCTATCATAAAAAACCAAGCTATACATATCAAAACACAGGTACATAGTAAACGAATCCATGGGTTTCAAAATATAGCATCCTTACAGTCATCGGGTACTTAAATCTATAAAATACTCATACGCAGCAATATCATGTATAACTAGAGAATTAAAGAGGAGTTAAATGATTGATCACCGTCATGTGCCCGTCAATTTCATATCGTTGTCCAGTATACTTCCTTAAAAGAGCTTGAGCTTCACTCTCATCTAGCCTCATTGCCCTACAAAGATAACAAAAACCACATAGACATACGGAGAACTGCAAAGAAATACAACCTAAAAAAATCACGAGCCATAGTCATATTCACCATTTAGTCCTTTGCAAGCTCTTGTCACCAGGAATATCCTTCAAATCCACCACAAAATCCCTATACCCACTACTCATTTCAGCCTCTCTTTCACACTCATTGCTGTCATTTTTTTTTTTTGAATTGTCTTAGAATTCAATTTTTTCCTTCAAAAATTCAACCAAACGCAAATTGTTACCTTTAGTTAAATCCTCTTTTTCCTTCAAGGAGCAAATCTTATTGCCAACGAGGAATCTGGGTTCTACCTGGCTAAGGTTTTCCGTCAAAACCCTAGTCACAAAATCATCCCCTTTGGGCTTGCTAGTGTCACCGGGCTGTGGGGATCGTATTCGATTGGAGATTGATTTGGTAGGAATGGAGTAGGGTTATGGAAAATTAACCCCTGCTGAGATGAGAGTATCAATAGTGTTCCTCTTTCTTCAGCAAACTCGGGGAGCATTACGGTTTAAAAATGGGGCATTGGAATAAAGCAATATTCGCCATCAATTTCTTTCTGCAGAATAGGGTTTATCCAAGAAGAACTGAAGAAGAAATGGGCGTTGGTATTGTTTTCCAGGCTTCAGCTTTTCCAGATCCGCTATCCAAACCCAAATAGCAAATTGGGTCAGGCGTGACTGGCCTTTAATAAGCTCAGCTCAGCCCACCTTCGAATATTTGACAGTTGACACTGATAATGTAGGCAGAGTGCATGTCACCATCTGGACACTGAAAATCTCAGCAGCAGATTTTACATTTTTTCGGCAACTTGCGGTGGCCTAAAGATAAATTCCTCACGTAAATCTAAAGAGCTTTGATCATGAGGGCCTAGTAATCAAGTTTGTTCACGAGGAATTCTCCATTTACACAATGCATTTACACAAATTTTACTGACCAAAAACACAAAGGAGGAATGGAGGCTCTAAATGAAATGTGCAGAAGCTCTAACGAATTAGTTGAAAATGGACAGAACGTCGTTAAGAGGTCTTACAGAGTGTGGCCGGATATATTCTTTGATGTAGGCCTCCACCTGTAAAGCATGAGGAGTTTGAGCAGAAGAGTGCAAGTCTGCAAAGATAAGAAGCAATAATATAGAGAAGATTTCTATAGTCCTAGTCAGTTTTGTGAAATTGATGCCTAGGGATGTTGATCTTAACTATAGTCAATGAAATATTCGATAATTTGATTTTTATCCAAATAAAAATTAAAATGGGTATTGTATTACAAAAATAGGTACGATTTTAAATTTTTATTAAGTATGAAATAAAACAAATAATATAATACGCATCTCATACTCATTTTTGTATATATTTATATGTATTTAGTAAATAATTTTTTATTAAATAATATAAATTATTATTTTAAATTAATTAAAATTAATATATTTTTATTAAAAAAATATATATTTATAAAAAATTATCTAAATAGACAAAATAAAAATAAAAAAGTTAAAAAATAAATTTTAGTTTTTTTTTTTTTAATTATGAGTATAGGGTTACTCATATCTAATAATTACTCACGAGGATTGGAATGAAGAAAAATTTGAAATAACTATTGGGTATATGTACAAAGATGAATATAATATAAAAATTCAGGAATGATGATGGAGAATTCTTTATCCTCCTCGTACTTTATCTATTGACATCTCTATATTTTGGTACTTGAGTTTTTAAAATTATTTTGAATTTTTCTTTTAATATCATGTGACAATTAATGATGTGATATTGACTAAATTTTTTTTTATACATATCAATATTTTATTAGATATTCATATCACGTCAGTAAATTAATTATCGACGTTAATATGAGATAATCAAATGGATGACGAAATGAATATTCGAATATCAAACTGATAATTTTATTTCTTTAAATACTAAATTGACAAAAAAAAGTATAATACCAAGATTATTTTTATATTTAACCATTTTTTTCATTTTTCGAATGAGATTTTATTTTAATCTTTACATATATTATTAATTAATTATATAAGATGATAATTATTTATTAATTTCACTGCATTGATTAACTTTAAACAATAATCTTAAAACATTCATTTAACTAGTTTTAAGCCCATGCTTTACAGAGATAAGTAAACAATTATAATTTTCATTATATATAACATTATTAGCGTTAAAAGAATTGCATCAGTAAAATATTAAAAGATCTATATCGGCATAATAAATAAATTATTATATTTAACATACCCACTTTTTTTTACAATGTTGAAAAGTCAAGTTTTGATTTCTATAAAATATTTAAGAATATTATGTAATTTCAAAAAATTAGGGTAAAGAAAATTATTTTTTTTTCAATTCAAAAAATTAATTGTCAAATATTACTTATTTAAAAATTTAAAATTTTATATTTATGCTACACACAACAAATGTATCTATAATAAATTTTTAATATAATATTATTTCAAATTTAATATAATTACAATTTTAAAAAATAATTTAAATTTTATTTTCATGGTTACAAATATACTGATGATGGTTGATAAAAAACTTAAGTCACCTTAAATAATTTTTCATCATCATTTTATTTACAATGTAATAAATTATCTTAATTTGATTACTAAAAGTAAAGTTATAAATGTAGGAAACCAAAAAGTGTGATATAGATTTTTTTTTTCAATCAAAAAAATAATTTCATTTATAAAATCAAAGGATTATAAAACCTATCAATCTCATCAGAGAATGTTCTAATGTATAAATAGAAAAACAATTGTAACAACACCTACTATTATACAAGGCATAAAATAATTATGTTTTTTCCCCTCTTATCTTTGTTAAACAATAAGTAATATAGTTTGCTATTAAAATCAACAATTTCATTTTTATTTATAACAATTAAAAACTCTTTGTTTTTTTTTAGAGTCGTGAATCTGCATTGAATATTTAAAATATAATTGTCTCTTTAAATCAACTATCATATATACTCACCTAATTTTAAGGAGATAAAAAATAATTAATTAGATAAAGATACATGTTTAAAAAAACTAATATGAAAATTTTTTATATTAATTGTATGATTTTTTTGTAATATTAATATATTAAATTTAGAACATAATTGCACTTATGTTTTTTTCAAATAGATAAAAGAGTTGTATTAATATATGTATATATATATATATATATCTTATATTATAAAGGAGTTGAACTTTTATTAAAACCAAACTATTGGCATTTTTATTTCAATATTGTGTATACGTTTTTGTTATGAATTAGTGGCATATCAATATGGTATATTGAAATGTATATTATCTAAAAAAAGAATTAAATCAGTAATGTCCATCTAAAAAAATACATAGAAGAACATAGAAAATTGGGTATAAAAGTTTCAATTTTAGTTTGAGTATTTCCAAAATTTTAGAACTTGTTAAATAAAATAAATGGTAAATTTCACAAAAATTAAGGAATTTGTTCCATTTTTATAAGATTAGTAAAAATTATAAACTAACACCCCTTATATCATCCAAAACTTAATTCATTAAGAACTTAGAAAATAATTTTTCCATTTTCAATTGAAACCAAGACATATTTAGCCAAGTTATAATTAATTATATCATTTTAGATCAACTTGGCTTACAATACAAATATTTGAAAATTTTTATGATTTGATTCCTAACCAATGCATAGCTGTCAATATATGGTAGCATCTAAATTAATCAATCATTCTTGGTATTTGATTGTAAAGTTTTGCAAATCAATATAATCTTATCAAGTAACTATCTAAAATAAAACAAAATTGTTAAGCCTTTCCTAACTAATAACTCACAAAAGAAAAGAACTTTCTAGCAACATTACATTCAATATATATATGAAAAATATTAAAAAATGTTTTTAAATTATAAAGTATAAAAAAAAATTTATACTAAAATATATAATTGATAAATTTACTATTATAAAAATAAAACCTAACAATTGCACAAACAAAATATATAAGTAAAACCTCAATAAACTTCCAAAATAATAGCAAACAAAACTACAAAATAAATTTCTTATAAGATAATAGAGACAAAATTGTAGTAAAACAAAGTTAAAGAAAAACCAAATTTGATTTACTTAATTTTTTTTAAGAACATTTGCATTTATATTACTATCAAGAGACATTATCATAAGTGTATTAAAAATTACTTTGTTCACCGTATAATATAATAAGTAATAAAAGAAATAAAAGTAATACAATTTTTTCTTCAAAATTATAAAATTCTAGCCTGATCTATATTTTTAAAAAAGAAAACAAAAATTTTTCTAATTTAATGATATAATTATTGTCAACCCATTAAATGGCTAATTTCTTTTTTTCTTATTCACTACATTAAATTTCATTTAATTTTTTTTCATAAGTAATTAAAAGATATGAAAATATATTAATGAGTGATTAACTTTTATTTAGTTTCTATTTTTATTTGTATTATTGACCAAATTAATTGTAACTTATTTATATAAGATAAAAATATTGGATATTTAAAAGGTAATAAATGTAATTAATTTTGTCTAACTAGTTATTTTTTAAGTAATAAAAATGTTACTATAAAAAATAATAAAAATATTTTAAATAAATAAAATACATTTATTAAAAAATATATGATGATTTTTTAAATCCATCCACGTATAAAAAATATAAGCTGTTTGTATTAGATTATTTATTTTTTTATTAAAGGCTTTAATTTTTATATATTTATACTAAACTCAATATATATATAATTAATTAATTGAAATTGTTTAAAGAGAATGTCAATGCCAATTCCCACTGTATTAAAATCTACCAACGAATCTAGTGCATGTGTGTACCAATGAAAATGGACTTTTGCATTTTAAATTTAGACAATCTAATGCCCAAAGCAACTTATTCCAAACAAGCATATGGTTTTTTTTGTTTTCTTTCTTTTAGTATTTTTTATTGAATACTACTTTATTATATAATAATAATAACATTATTTTCTTTATGGTATTTCGACCGTCGGAAAGCTCAAATTGTTGACAAATACTATGAGATATGAGTAATTAAAACTCTTTTAAAAGAACTGAACAAACAACAACCAATAAGAAAGAAATTTTGCTTTCACAAACAAAACGCTATTGACTATGCTTTTTAAGTAATTAAAAACGCAATTATGGAGGCATTGGCCATTGTTGTTAACCGCATGATGGGTACAAAATTAACTGTTTGGAGCCATATACATGTTGAGTTAGGAGTCAGCACAGCCCGGTACCCACGCTTTTGTCTGTTAAAAAAAATGGAAAGCAAAGACTTCAAAACATTTTTGTTTGAAAGAAACAGATGGGTCTGTCAGAAAAACCGCTGTCATTTGCTACTATAAGTCGCAAATTCAAGCACAAACAAAGAAAAGGAAGGATAACAAAGGAAGTGGAATAGAGAGCTGGAGTAAGCTAATCAATGGAGTTCTGAAATCACCACCCTTTTTTTTTTTCAAGTTCAACAAAAACACCACTACGAAGGTCAACCATCAAGCACCAAAATCTTTGTTTCTTGTTATTTCGTTTGGTTTGATTTTTTAGCTTTATATCATGTGGGTAATTTTATTTTGTCTGAAAACGAAGTTTTGTTTTTTTTTTTTTTTTGTTCATGAATATGGAAGGAAGTTCATCTGTTTGATCTTTTAATCGTACGTTTTGTTTTCAGGGATGAATTCGTTTAACACGTTTAAAAGGTTGGTTGTTTATGGAACAGGGGAAATTTCACATTTTTCTTTCGTTTTGATTTCTTTTTTTCTTATGTTGTTTTGGGTCCTACAGCTATAGTAGAATCACTTTAATTTCAGCATCATTCTGTAAAACTAGTTATGCTGACTTCAACCATGATGTCCTGCCTTTTTGGGGATCTTGATTTCTTCTGGGCCCATTGCCTTTTTATGGTCAAGGAATCAGCTGATGTAATTAAGAGAATCTAATTCTAACACCCACTTCTGCAATCAAGTTTATGACATTCGCTCCATTTGTTAATTTCCATGGCATTTGGATTTTGGGCAAACAATTTATTTGCGTGGCATGTCTTTTTCCTGATACACTATTCAATGATGGCTGTTTGTTACAATATAGTAGTATTTGTAAGAGAGTATTTGTGGCAAATTTATGACTTATATCCAAATTTATTATGTATTACCTGTTGGATTGATGTAAATTCCCTTTGGATGTGGCAGGGTTCATTGGACGGCATTATTTGCATGAACTCCATCTCGTATAATCTTGTGTTGGATTAGTTATGCGTTCTCTCGCGGGTTGTTTTTGCATGAAGCAAGTTAGACACAAACCTGGGTATGAAGAGCGTATCATTCTTGCTTCTGAAACACCTTGTAAGTTAGACAGTGAAGAATGAACCTATGACTGTTTTCTCTTTATATGTTTTGCTCGGCCAGTTTCATTGTTAACCGCATTCTTGCATCAGCCAAGTTGTCCATTTGTGGGCTTTGCCGAATTGCCTGTCCTTGTTCCCATGTGGCCATTTTCTCGCTACTGCAAACAATTACCTATTGTACTTTCAATATTTATTTATGCATAATTCTGCTATTGCTTTTCCCTGGCATAACTCCCTCATGGACATTGTCTTGTTGACTCCTTGGTTCTGACTTCTTAAGGGCCACCTTAGATCATAATCATGTCAAGAGCCTGCCTATAAGCAACTGGGACTTATCTAATTATTCAATATTAAAAAGTGGCCGCTGTCCAAATTGAATATGCTGCCATTTCAGCATATTGTGTTCATGCAAATTCCGGATATTATGCTGTGCAATCTTTACTATTTGCTTGTCTAAGTGTAGAGCATTTCTTAATTATTTGACAGTTACTGTGAATGAAATAGAAGCTTTGTATGATATGTTCAAGAAGTTAAGCAGCACCATAATTGACGATGGTCTGATTCACAAGGTATATCATTCCAGATTGATTCAGATATGTGATTTCTTTTTGTGAATTACTTTTGACTGTTTGAGGGCACTCTATGAGTCATAGCCTCTTTGGAATTTGGAAAGATTAATATGAGTTCTTGCACCATTGTCTTCGACTTGAAAGATATTTTTCCTTTTAAGTCGTAATTTTTTCGGAATGTTTTCTGAACAGGAGGAATTCCAGCTTGCACTTTTCAAAAACAGCAGTAAGCAGAGTCTCTTCGTGGATAGAGTATCTTTTCATGCCCAACTATTTTGTTTTGGCGTTTTATACATGTTAATTCAGAGAAAATTGTTCAAACTGTATTGAGTTTGTTGCAGGTATTTGATTTATTTGATGTTAAACATAATGGGGTTATTGAATTTGGAGACTTTGTTCGGTCTTTAAGTGTCTTCCATCCCAATGCTCCGGAAGCAGAAAAAATTGCATGTATGTAATGTTTATCAAAGATAGTTTTGGTATCTTCCTTTTCTCCTTCCTGGGTGTTATCTGCTGACATGCTAAGATCACTATAGCATCATAAGACATCTTTCAAGGATCTCATTCTTACCGCTGGCAACTAAACTTAGTAAATATATCTTCTTCCAGTCTTATTTAGATTATATGACCTACGACAGACTGGCTACATTGGGCATGAAGAGGTAAGTACTTTTTAACTTTGATCTTTGTCATCATTGTTTGCTGAAGAGGATTGGAAAATAACATTAATATCAATGATAAATAGATATATATATATATATATATATATATATATATCACGCTCATCTTTAAAAGATTTGCTTTTCACATGCAGCCTGCTGTTTTTTTACTGAAACTTATCCTCCTCCAACCAGCTATAATTTAGTAATTTAGTATTCAATCTTCTTGTTTTAATCAACATATTATGATTCTAATTATTTATCTCATTTCCATTTTTATTACCTTACTGGAAGTTGAAGGAGATGGTATTGGCTCTGCTTAGTGAATCAGATCTGTCACTTTCCTACGATGTGGTGGAATCCATTGTGGAAAAGGTGGTGGACATTGTAAACTGTTCGATTTGTTGCGCTTCCATCATTCTGCTTTCTGGGTATTGATATTGGTCATATTTGTGCAGACAATGATGGATGCAGATTCAAAAGAAGATGGGAAGATTGATGAAGAAGAATGGGGGGAATTTGTGACAAAGAATCCATCTATCATGAAGAACATGACTCTTCCATGTTTGAAGTGGGTTCTAAAGTTCTTTCATTTAAGCTCAAGTTTTGTTCATCTTTTTCCTCATAAATTATTTCATAATCTGAAACTTTTGCTCTTTTCATTACTTATATGTCACATTAGCTAGTGAGCATGCACTTTAACTAGGACAATGAGTAACTAATAAATAAAATATGCTTTAATTTGGACAATATATGTCATTTAAATTCCTGATTTTGTACTTTGATATTCTTTTTCAGGGAATTAACCCTAACATTTCCCAGTTTCATACTGAACACTGAAGTCCCAGATTAGGAGTACGGACCAATGAAGATGACAGACTTGATCGAATTTTTTTTTCAACATGCTAGGTGTTTTGTGGTTACATTCGAAGTGTCCTCGATAGGATGAAATGAGAGTAGAATCCATAGTTTTATCTGCAACTTACATGTTTTTAAATCCAGATTCTGAAGAGTTAATCTGGAAGTCCCAGTTACCACGTTGTTTTAACATTATTTACATATAAAATCTGATTCAACATACAAATATTTAGTGGATTGATATCTTCTATAACAAGTTAATAACCCTAAATGTATCCACATTATCTTAGTGACAAACCGAATAAGCAACAAGCAGGGATGAAAGAATGAAACTGTGGATGGGATTTGCTTAGATCAGATGCTGAAGATGATACTATAACAACTTCTTTTAATAACACTGGACTGAAACTCGACTGAAATATATAGTTATTCCATTATTAAAGCAGTCAGAAATTAGCAGTTATATCTTTACAATGCCGAAATGTTTCAAGCGTAGTTAAAGATTTTATATTAGGTTACCCAGGCTTGGCAACAACCATTTTTTCCAAGTTCATGGGATGGCACATTTCGGTGTGCCGGCTGCTCCATTGTCTGCTTCACTGCATCAGTTGGATGAAACTGGTCCCTTCCAGATGTGATTGGAAGCATTAGGACAGGCCATTTCTGGTAACACGCACATGATCCAACCTTTATCTTTCCCTAAACCCACAGCAAGCAGCAGCTGTGGCATTAAAACCTGAATGAGAGCACACAACAGCATTAGACAGGGATGGATCCAGGATCTATATTCAGTGGGGGTAAAAATACATATAATATTGAATATATATAAGTTAACTAAGATGCATAAAAAAACTATTTTAGTATACATAAAAAATAACATATTACAATTGTTCTCTACGACTTTTCATATTTTGAAAGCATTGTAAAATCTTTTCATTATCAATATTACAAAATATGTCTTTCTTTATATATGTAACCAAAAAATCATTCTTCCAAGATATCCCATTCGGTTGCGCAAACGGTTCTTCACAATCTTCATAGCAGAAAAAGCTGTTTCAATTGATGCAATAGAAATTGGTAATATCAAAGCTAATTCCACAAGTAAGTATACCAATGGATACACCAAATGTTTCTTTGTCTCAACAAGTTTCATGGAAATGTCACTAATACTTTTCAAACTTGTAAACTCATCATGAGATTTTAAATCAACAATGTAAGTTTCAAGTTGATTGTCAAGAACTAATAGCTCAACATTAGAAAACTCAGCAAGATAAAATTGAGCAAGACAATCAACTTTCCCTTATCAAAAGCTATAAAAGAATCACAAGAATTTAAAAAAGCCACACAAAGAAATAACTCCATATTCACCTCATTAAAACAATTGTTAAGCTCTTGAAGTTGTATATCAATTACTATATAAAATAACTCAACCTAATAATAATGCAAATTTGTCATTGTTAGAGCATTGCGTCAAAGTCTTCCACGAGTTACAAACATATCATCCATATTTGGGGTGCCAATATTGTTTTTTTTTCACAAAATAAAGAAACCTCTTTATGCAAAGATTCCCATCTATCATCTCTCATCATTTGTAGTTGTTGCTTCGCTACCTTTACTAATGCCATCACATTCACAATATCTTGATCTTGCCTTTGTAATGCCAAGAACAATTTATTTGTAATCTCCAAGATATTTTTCATCAAAAGCAAGTTGAAAGCAAAGTCAAAAGATTGAGTCGAATCTAATAAGGCAGAAGTTTTATTTCTTTGCTTCGAGCTATTCCCCTCCTCCACAACAATTTCAAGCATATCAATGATGAAATTAAACATAACAATCAAATTTATCAAAGTCCCATAATATGAACCCCATCGTGTATCCCTAGCTCATTGAAGACTTATTTCTTGGTTTAAACCCCCTCTGTAGAAAGTTCACCAACTCGCAATGCCTCAACAACTTTATTAAGTTGTTTTTCTTGAAAAACATATCTTCGTTTACATGAAACCCCAACAATATTCACTAAATTTGTCATAATATTGAAAAGTAATGCAATTTGAACATGATTCTTTGCCATGGCTACAAGTGTCAATTGAAGTTGATGAGCAAAACAATGAACATAATAAGTGGATACATTATCTTTCATATTCAAAGTTTTCAATCCATTGAAGTCACCTTGCATGTTGCTTGCTCCATCATAACATTGCCCACGAGCCCTTGACACACTCAAATTATGCTTAAAGAATAATACTTCAATAGCTGCTTTAAGTGACAAAGCAATTGTATCACTGACATGTATTATACCCAAAAAACGTTCAATAACATGCCCTTTAGAATTCATATAGCGCAAAGCAATATCAGCTTGTTCTTTTATTGAAACATCACGAGATTCATCAAGTAAAATGAAAAATAATCCATCTTTAAGATCTTTCATGATAGCATTGGTAGTCTCAATTGCTGCAATACGAACAAGATCTTTTTTAATATCATGTGCTATTATTTTTGAATTTTCTAGTGCATTCTCCAAGATAACACTATTGATGATTTCATTATGATTCGCAAGAAATCTAAAAAGCTCAAGAAAATTTTCTTGATTATGAGAATTCTCAATTTCATTCTACCACGAAATGCCAAACCTTGACATAGAAGAAAATGAGTACAAACAATTGTCGCAGTTAAACAAACTTAATAATCTTTTCGTGCTTGATCAGATTATTTTGCAAAAGCAAATTGAATGTGCTGCTTTTGATTTAGCAAATCTTGACAACACTTTCAAGCTTTCTTATGAGCATTATTAAGACCTCCAACATGAATATCAAATCTTTTTTTCTTTTTTTCAATTTGTAAATCCGTTTAAAATAAAACAATCACCACTTGCTTGCTCTTTAATATCTGTTCTATAAAGATAACAAAACAAACAAAAAACATCATCCTTCTTTATACTGTATTCCAATCAAGTAGCATAATCTTTGAACCAGTAGGAATAAAATGACGTAATGACTTTCCAATATTTTTTTACTTTTGGAAAAAATTATGTTCATGAGGTTGACATGGACCTTTTTACAAATAAGCTCTTCGAACCTTGTCTCTATCATTAGCATTATAGTTCAAAATTTTTTTTCGTAACCCATGATTCGAAGGAAATTGTCTAAATTTAATTCAACACGAACTTACTTTGTACAATGTTGTACGCCACTAGTATTGATTCTAGATGATTCTTCAAAAAATTGATTTCCTCTTAATTAGATATTTCTCCATAACTAATCAAATTAAATAGTTTAGTTTATGTAATTTATAAAAAATAAAAACACATTCAAAATACAATTATGCATGTTAATGAAGCTCAACTAACCTTTTATTTGAAATAGATGAATAGAAATGTAATTCACATATTGTAACCATATTGCTAGCAAGAAATTGGATAGAACTTCTAACTAATTTTATAATTTTCATATAAAAATTAATTTTTACTAAACTTAAAGTTATTAGCTGAATGAGTAATAACTAAAAAAATTAAAAAATATATATAAAACATAAAAAATTTAAACATCATAAAAAATATAAATGCTATCAATAACATGAATACATGATCAAATTATTTCATCAATATAACAAATTTCAAATAGTAAATAAACACTATATATAAAAATATATAAAAAAATTGATTGAGTAATTACAAAAATGTATAAAAAAATAACTTACTTGAATATCTTGTTGGAAGAAAAAGATAAACAACTTATAATTTGTTTTTTTAGTTTAAAGTTTTTTTTTTCTTTTTTACTTCTTTAATTTTCTTTTTCTAGTTCACCTTGTTTTCGTTTGAAAAAACTAAAAATTGCAAAAGTGGGGGATTGGGGAAGATGGATGAAAATGAAAATTGATTACTTTTTACTTAATACAATTTTGCTTTTTTTTTTTATATATGTATTGACCTTCAAATAGTTTTTTATTTACACATCTATCAGACTATCATTTCTAATTAATGAAGTTTGACCTTTATATAAATTATATATATAATTTTTTTTAATGGGGACATTATAAATGAATTAAAATTTTTAAATATTTTTATAATATAATTTTGAAGGGATAAAAATCTCAATAAGGGCAACTGCCCCTAGTGCCCCAACTGTGGATCCGTCCTTGGCATTAGATTTAGAGGTAGTTCGAGGATCTTAAATAAAAATGCAAAGAGGAAAAAGGTTCAGGTAATCTTACCATAACACCTATGATTTTGAATTATATCCATAGACCTTTGAAACACATCATAGAAAATTATGTGAGTGTCAAGAAGCTCCTCAGTCATGTATCTCATGACAAAGTTGAACCTTATAATCATGTCATTTATCTCTTTAATACACTCTCCCTTTTTGCTCTTGTACCGCCATAAATAGTAAGGAACATAACCAATGGGCGGTAGCCCCATGACCAGCAATCCCCTAACATTCATGTTGTACAAGTTCTGTTTTACCAATATTTAGAGGTCAGGGAGTTTCCACAGCCAAACTTACTAGTAAACCAAAACAAAGAGAAGACTTCGGTCGTCACCTTGATTTCCTATCTCATTGTAGATGCTAATAACTGGTTGTAACCCCAAGGTAGATATAGATTTTGCATATTAGATATCTTACGCAGATAGTGATTATATGGTCATTTATTCCAATAGAAATGTAAAGCAGTGAACTCGAGATGAAATTAATTGCTACATCCTCACCCATGCTTAGAATAAACTGCTTGTAAGTATCAACAAATTGTTGAATTTTGTAGGTAGATGAGATGTGTTAACCCTATATCAAGAACAGATGCAATGAAAATATGTGATTAGTACAGCTTCAATTGAGAACATCCTAGGACAGCAAAACAGATGAAAGGCTTATATATGTACATAAGTTCACATATGCTCTAAAAACATAGAAAATAAAATGTAAATCATGACAACAAGGCGTCATAAGGCTCTTAAGAGATCATAGGGTCCTCTTATACTCTTTCCTACTAATCATTTAACAAAAAGATGTAGTACTAAGTCTGAATCACGTGTGATATACATCATAAGAGAAGCACTTTTAACAACTGCAATCCAAATTTTAGTTTACAAGTCAATTAAATAACTTACCATGATATCCTGAAGAAGACTATTGACAGGAATATATAGTTCAAATCATACCAACTTTGATCCATTTGAGAGCATAATGCCAGCAGTAGCAACAAATGCATAATTGACTCCATAAAGCATATTATCGAGCTCTCCAGCTTGTCCAAGATAATTCGAAACAAAAGGAAGTCCAAGATGCAATGTTGTTTACAACAACAACAACACATTAATCCTTATATCTCATATTCTGGGGTCAGTTGTATAAAAAACTAAATAAGAGAATCAGGTTAGGTTGTAGTTTGAATCTTCTTGCGTCA